TAAGTTTTTTTTTTGTTTTGTTTTGTTTTTTGTTTTTTTGTTTTTTTGTTTTTTTGCGTCTCACTATGTAGTTGAGGCTGACCTGGAACTCACTATGGAGCCCAGGCTACAGCCTCACAGCGCTCCTCCTGCCTCAGCCTCCCAAGTGCTGGGATTACAGGCGTGCGCCACCACACCCGGCCCATCCTCATCTCTTTACTGTTTCTTTCATATGACAAATCTGCAACTCCTTTAGTTGTTTAGTGTTTTTTGCCTCTCCCTCTGGAACCATAAATGCCCTGTTGTTAATCGTTGAATTTAAGCAATAACATAATCAATAAACATTTTGATAAAGGGGAAATAATATAACTCCCAACCTGCTATCTGTCAGATACTCCAAATTTGTGTTCCCCAAAATCAAAGAATGAATTCTAAGGAACAACAGAGATTGAGTAGAAAAAATATATTGGGAGATCTAGCTCCAGAGTGACAGGAAGAAACCCAAAAGTGGGTTGCTGCGGACCCCACTTCACAGAGGAAGTTTTATAGAGCAAAATCATGAAGGCCGGGTGTGGTGGTGCACGCCTGTAATCCCAGCATTTGGGAGGCTGAGGCAGGAGGATCACTGCAAATTAGAGACCAGCCTGGGCTACATAGTGAGTTCCAGGTCAGTAGTCTCAACTACATAGTGAGACCCTGTCTCAACAAAACAAAACAAAACAAAACAAAATAATGAAGTAAGAACAAAATCACGAGGTAAATACAATTTGAGCCAAAACGATGATTAGCCAATAAGATTACAAGTATAGCTGCTTAGGTAATATTGATCCAATGGGGAAGCAGGTCATATAGCAAGCGTACATGGAAAGACCAAGGGTGTTTTTGGGAAGGGATGGATCAGGAGATCCTGGTCCCCCACCTGATATCGCTCTAGACCTTACTGGAACCAGGTGATACTAATTATAGTATAATCATTAATTTATTGCTTATTCTTGGAGAGCCATGTAGGCCTGGTTATGCCATCTTTTCTTGAGGCCTAGCCTTTGACAGATGTACCTCCAGCCACAGTTGTAATGTGTTTTCATTTTCTGCACTGATTCCCTTGAGGGCCTATCCCTGTCTGACTGCCCGTAATAGTTCTACCTACTTAGGTGTCTATAATAGGTTTGGGTTTTGTTTGTTTGTTTGTTTGGTACCAGGGATTGAACTTGGGATCTTGAGCTCACGAGGAAGATGGCAGAACCACTGAGCTAAATCCCCAGCCCCTATAATAGTTTAATAAACTATACGCCCAAAACGTCTCAGGAAACAGAAATGTAGAAACAATAGCTCTGTTACAGAGCTACCATCACCACCTCTGTTGTCACAGGTGCCCCGAAAGCTGAATGATAAAAAAAATAATGGTTTTGTGGCCTTTTCATAAAAAGGAAACTCATTTAATTAAACAGTACCTGAGTTTTTGCTATCTTCTCCGCCTTGTAAGTCACACCAGAGGTATTCTAACAGGATATCCGTCATGTCTGACAGATCAGGGAGTAGATCAAGGGGGCCCCATGGGGGAAATCTACACTAAACATTCCACGAGCAATATTTTTTATGCTCATCCATGCTCTCCATAAATGTAGGGTTTCCCAAAGGCTCAATGTTTGATGAAGAGTGGTGGAATGTATGTTGTTTTTACATTTTCTCCACTGTAATTTTAATTTTTTTTTTTCTGGCACTGCAGATCGAACACAGGACCTTGTGCTTGTGAGGCAGGCATGGCCCCACTGAGCTAAATCCCCGGCCCTCCGTGGTAAATTCTAATTCAGTAAATATGACAACCCGCATTAAAAGGGGGGAGAGTGCTGGGTATGTAGCTCAGTTGTAGTGCTTACCTAGCATGAGCATGGTCCTAGGTTCCATCCCTAGCACCACAAAAACAACAAAAATAAAACTCCTGGAATACAGGAACTTTGCACACTCTGGAAGCCATTAGCAACAAATACAGTATACATACTAGAGGCTGAGACTGAAAGAGGGGATTGGTCTTTCCTGAGGAGGAAACTTCAGGGACTAGTGGGGATGACTAGCGGAGTCGGCAAAGGCGCAGGTAATGTGCGCCCCGGATGTGCAGAACGCACAGGAGAGTCAGGCCTAGCCCTCTGCAAGGCAGCACACCTCTCTCCTTTGCACACAGCAAAAGCTGTAAATCCTTCTTTTCTGGTCAGGGATTTAATGAAAGGCTGGACATAAACCAGAGAGGGAATTTTAGGGCGGTCTCTCCGGATTACAATGCCTTAAAAAACTCTCCTTAAATCTAGAATAAAGGCTAAAACACCAGTATAGGTTGGGGGAGGGGAGATGCAATGCAGAAAAGGGCGGGAAAATGAAGCCTTAAGAAAGAAAGGCTGAGGGGGAAGGGAAGAGGCAGTGTCAGAAGTCAATGAATGACAGCGAGGCTGCCGAGCGCGCTCCAACCTTCTGCGTGCGCAACGGCTGTAGTCTCGCGAGAACTAACCGTTGCTGGTGCGAGCTTTGCGTAGGGGGGGAGTGGAGGCGGGAGTGAAGTCTCGCGAGAGGAGGTGGTTGCTGTAGCGGAGCCCTCTGTGTCTGAGGTGCCGCCTCTGTAGTCGGGGACGGTTTGCTGAGCCCGTTAGTGCTCCAGACTGGTACCGACGCCGCTGTCATGTCCCCGGCTGTAGTCTCGCGAGAACTAACCGTTGCTGGTGCGAGCTTTGCGTAGGGGGGGAGTGGAGGCGGGAGTGAAGTCTCGCGAGAGGAGGTGGTTGCTGTAGCGGAGCCCTCTGTGTCTGAGGTGCCGCCTCTGTAGTCGGGGACGGTTTGCTGAGCCCGTTAGTGCTCCAGACTGGTACCGACGCCGCTGTCATGTCCCGCTACCTGCGCCCCCCAAACACGTCTCTCTTCGTCAGGAATGTGGCCGACGACACTAGGTAGGAGACGGGGTAGGGACTCGGGGCCTGCGCGGGGGACGCCGCGGGCGCGCGGAGAGGACAGAGTGGCGGCTAGTTTCCTTAGAAATAAAATTTCAGAGAACTGACGGGATGGCGGGAGAGAAACGTGGAAAAGCGTTTACTGCCTTTTCCCGGTTTTTGTTTTTTTTGGCCGTTGTTAACATGGTGTTTAATATTTTAGAGATTTAGGGTGGAAAGGAAAGTTGAGATTTGAGAAATGAAACGCTTCCCGTTACATGGAGTACTTCCATTTTGTCGAAATTTTGGTTACTCTTTTTAGGGGGAGGGGGACCGGGGATCGAATTCGGGTCCTTTGCGCTTGCGAGGCAGGCGGCGGCACTGAGCTAAATACCCGGCCCTTGGTTATCTTTTGAGAAGGGGAGTAGTTGAGAAAGTATCCTATTGGGCTATTGGTAACTAAATTAGGTTTATCGAAGTACTTTAAATAGGCCTTGTTTTCAGCAATTCCCGTAATTGCTTCGAATTGCCTTCCGAATTTTTTTGGGAGGGCGGCTATTATCACGTGATGAGGCTCATTTCACAGGTAATCGGCAAACACGGAGTGTTTTTTTGTTAGTTTTGTGTGATTTACCTCTGTAGTTTCTGTTTTAAATAGGAAAAAAGGCAGTAGTAATTCTTGTAGAGCGTAGGAAATTTTCACCTTTGTCATTTTTTTGACACTTTAAAGAGTTATGGCTTTAATTTTTTGAATCTTATATACTTTTAACTCTTTGTCTAGCCCTGTTGCTACGATTTTTCTGTAAAAATTAGTGCTTGGTGTTTTTGAGTACTAGAGTTGACGTGGTAAATAAAAGATTCAACCTAGTGCTGCCCCTTTTTTTGGAAAAATGAAGACTGTAAATTTTAAAAATTGTATTCGTTTCCTTACGAATCTGTTTTGTATTAAAAGAGTAATAGATTTGCAGCCTACATTTACAGTTTTCCATATTCTTAGATCCTAGCTTTCTTTTATCAAAAGGATACATATAGCCTTTGCTGATTGGGGTTGGGATTGGAAGTTGAGCATTGTACCCAGAGAATGCAAGCGACTTCGTTTTTATTTGGAGACAAGAGTCTTGCTAAGTTGCCCAAACAGTCCTGGCGCTTGCCGTCCCCTGGCCTCCGCTTTTGGAATGGCCGGGATTACAGAGGTGGCACCCCATATCCATTGCCTTTACAGTTGTGTTTTTGTTTTGTTTTGTTGACAATGCTGGGGATCGAACCCAGGACCTTTGTTCTACACTGTACTACCACCTCTTTTTAATTTTGAGACAGAGTCTAGTGAACTTCCCAGGCTGGGTTTGAACTTAGATCATCCTGCCTGAGATTTCCTGAGAGCTGGCGTTTGCAGGCTTGCACCTTCACTTTGGGCCTTTACTTTTTTTTTATGTTAAAGTTGGCTCTTAACTGTTGAGGTTCTGAAGGCTTGCCTGTTTCAGGTCAGGCAGGGGAGGAATACGGCTGAGACCCATCCGTCTACACTGTTAATGAGTCCCTTTCATTCATTAAGTTATTGAAAGATAATTATTGCTTACAAGGAAATTTTTAAGGGCATGACCATAAAAATTTGAGTTCCTTTTATGATGTTTTAGGTCTGAAGATTTACGGCGTGAATTTGGCCGCTATGGTCCTATAGTTGATGTGTATGTTCCACTCGATTTCTACACTCGTCGTCCAAGAGGATTTGCTTACGTTCAATATCCTTTCTTCAGATGACTGATTAGTGAGGGGTGAAGTTTCAAATTCAAGTTTATGTAAGTGGTAACATCTAAAAAGTAGTTTATTTTTGTCCTCTAATAAATGTCTGTCTTCAAATTTTTGAAAATTAATTCTGACTCACATTGCTCTTACTATTCCATTAATCCAAAAATAGTTAAATATTTAAATTCCCGTTCATGTTGCTGAAATGCGAATCAGTGATTATAATGTGATTTAAATTTGAATTTATTCTGGTTGCTACCACCTTTTAATGTAAGTCAAATTAAAACTTAGTATGTTCTTGTGCTTAGCAATTAAAGTTCAGTATCTTGTTTGTTAATTTGAATCACTTGATCAAAAACAAATTGTATAACAATGAGGTAAACTTCTTTAATATTGTCCCCTAATTTGCTGTCCTCTGTTGTTACCTCAGAATGTAAAGCTGTACAGTTATGGCGACCCCAAAGAGAAAGCATGAAAGAACCTTTAGAGTAGAGTTCAACACTTAAGGCAAGTAGACAAGCCAAAGACCTCTTAAGGATCAGGCTTGAAGAGAAGGGAGAGTTTGGGAAAAGAAAAAATAAAGAAAAGCTGGAAGAAGGACAAGCCTAATGGGAGACAAAGCCTCGCTTTATCTACAGAGGGGGAAAAGGTTGTTTTTCAAAGTTAAAGATAAAGCCATCTGTCATATTTGGCCAAGCATCTCATGACAAGTCCTTCTGACAAGCACTTAAAGAGTTAAAGGTCAAGATGAAGTTGAATGATGGCCAAGATTAAAGGAGTCATACCTGATGTATCCTACAGAATAACTATTTTCTTTCTTTTTTTTTTTTTTTCTTTTTTTTTTTTTAATGTTTTGTAAGTAGTTAATTTTCAAAATTATTCTGGTTTGGTCTAGTGACAAAACCCGTGACTTGATTTATGTGGGCTTTGATGTTGTGATTGTGGTCTTGTATAAATGCACTTTCTCTTAGCCTGTCAAGTTAAATTACAACAGGATGTAACATTGTTAAGCTTAAATTTGGCATATCTTGGTTTGGTGCAGGTGCAGAGACTCTTTGAAGTAGCATGAGGTTGTAGGGTCAAGCCACACAGCCCTGTTTAAAGGGAAGACAGATGCATGGACTGGGATCTATTTAGAAATAGCTCTGGTGGTCTTGCAGGGTCAGAACCACTAGAAATGCCATATAGGGTTTTTCTAGATGGCTGCTGGGAACACACACAAATTCCTAACTTCTGGCACTTGGCTGTGTGTAGCCTGTAGCCTGCTGGCACTGGACTGCTTTAGCACATGTGATTAGTTGACCCTGAATGGGTTGCAGAAGGCCTTCTTCCCTGGTATAGTACCTGATCAGGATCTATGGAAATTGATTCTTGACCTGGTTTCAGGTGACATTACTTCCTTCTTTGAGATCGTCTTCCTACAAAAACAAAGATTTGGGCTCTGGACTTGAGGCCAGGAAAACACTTGCTGCTCAAATTTCTTGCTGCTAAGACCTCTTGCAACTTTTCAAGTTAGTATAGTCCTCCTGAAACTGTTGAAAAAAGGCTAAAAAGCACTCAAGGGCCAGTGATCAAAGACAGTTGTGTGAATTAGTTGCCAAACTGTTACAGAGAGGATAATAGCTAAATTTGGGTTCTGCCTTACAGTGTTACCTGTTTTGTTGCGGCAGCCCAGAAATGGTCAATAGTTTGACTGTTACAGTTGGGCCAAAACAGGGTGATTGTATAAAGGAATCCAAAAGAGAGTGATTATCTGTTATACATGTTCAGTAACTCTTACTGTGGTCTTAAAATAGTTAAACAAATGTTACAGGCTTACTATTACATGTTTATAGGAACTCTATAATACAGTTACTCCGTGACTGGCATCAAAACTTGGCTGCTCCTACTGCTGCTGTCTCTAGTCTGTTTGCAGTTGGTCTTCTCTTCCTATCTCTGACTTAACAGGTAGTGTAGAACCTTGCTATCCAGATCAGGGTTCTGTTTTTGATGGTAGCCTGGGGATACTTTGTTTTTACTAATAATTTTCACCCCTCTGGATATAAATTCTTTCTTAAATTATTATATTCTGTCTCTTGCAGTAACAAAGCTGTGTACTCATTCAGTAAACATTCCTTTTTATTTAGAGTCCCAACTGTATTAATCTTCAGGAATATTCAATTATGTATTTATGATCCTGTATTCTTCATCAGATTTTTTATGTTGAAAGCCTGGTTAAGACTTGGAAAAGCCTCTTCTTCCACTTAATCTGCACATAATGACCTCCAGAAGAGAGCTGGAAACCTCTGCTACAGTCCTTATTGACTTATGGCACAAAAAGTGGGAGGTCTAGTGAGGCCATCACAGCATTTTGTCTCTGTAATAAAAGAACACTAATATCAATCTTGATAGTGTCACTTTGAGGGTGTTTCATAAATCAACTCTCCAAATCTGCCCTCTTAGGTTCTTAAATTTAAGAAATAAAAGTGAACAAGCAGTTTTTAGGGAAGAATTAAAGTTCATACAGAAACTTAACCTCGCTCCTTTTCAAAACCTTTAAATCAAATACTGCCTTGAATGGGTACTTGGTTTCTATTGGAATGATGGCTTTAGAAAGGGATCTATGTTTGTACAGAATTACTACTGTAAACCCAAGGATTCTCATAATATTACTAGCATAATTAAGAGGATAGGTTAGCTTAGCATGTCAGATCAAAAATTCATGCCAACAGTTTCAGGTTGGTGAATATTCTTATAAAATCCATTCCCAAACTCACTTGTTGGCAGGACTGTTTATTTAGTATCATGTGTGTCTAGGGCTTTCCAGTCTAGGAGCCCTTAGAGTGGTCTGTTATTTGTTGATAGCATGCTTTTATAGTCTATGCATGGATGTAATATGCATTTGTCATAGTGTTTGCATATTGCTTAATTTTGTCTTGATACCCACAAGTGGCTAGCATGCTTGTTTTCCCTGTGCAGTGCAAGGAAGACAGCTACATAAATAATAGCATTAGATGTATCTGGGGGGAAAAAAACCTGCAAAATAAACTTGAAGTTGATGCTTTCATCTTTGTAAGGTAAGGCATACGCTGCTTGCTTACACAAGAACTATTGGTGGTGTTTTTTTGTTTTGTTTTTCACTTGAAACAAATATATGAAAGTAATATTTTAGGTTTTAGAAATTTTTTTAGCACCCAACATGGAATTTTGACTGACTTGTCTTTTCTTATAAAGTTAATTCTTAAAACTCCGGAATATTTTTTAATAGGATAACTTGGTGATTCAGTTCTAACATTTTTGGGGGCGTGGTATGGGCAGTCAAACTCAGGAGCTTCACTGAGCTAAATCTCTGGCCCCTACCAGATCTTAATACAACATATATTTGTGTGTGTTCTAAAACACATGCCTTGGGAAATCACAAGTACTTTTATGCTATGAAGTATTAGTGGCTGAATCAACCAAGTAGTGAGTATAATCTGGTTGTATAACAGTATTGGGAAACTATAAATTGTTCCAGATTTACCAACTGAATTTTCATTTATTATCAAAGTGTGCAAAACTTCCCAAGCCCCTTAACATTTAGCACATTTGAGGATGTTCGTGACGCTGAAGATGCTTTACATAATTTGGACAGAAAATGGATTTGTGGACGTCAGATTGAAATACAGTTTGCACAGGGGGATCGGAAGAGTAAGTACCCTTATTCCTAACATGTATAATATAATTTTAGAAAGATGTTTTGGGATTTCTCTGAAGTATTTGTGTAACTTGTGTATTTGTTCAGATTTTTAAGAATGACTCTTGAACACATATTTTCTCAAGTAAATTACAAAGTTTGCAAATACTGTAGGTGTAAAGATTATGTGGAAATCAGAATATTGAAATGTGTGCTCTACAGAAAGTTGGTCAGTAATATAACAGTAGCATGTTTAATACACTGAGGATGGAGTTGAGAGAGATAAATGTACAATTTTGGATCTTTTGAGACATTTCTCCAGTGATCTTCAAAGTATAATTGGGTAATGTGTCTGCAGGACTATCAAAATGGGCCAATAGAAGTAGAGTAGGAAAGGCTATCTAAATTAAAGCTAGAATAGACTTGATTTTATTGCTTAGGCAAATACTATCTAAAAATTGATGGGACAGGAGATTGGGAGAATACATTAAAAAACAAGCTAGGTGTGGTGGCGCTTGCCTGTAATGGCAGCACTTTGAGGTTTAGACTGAAAAAGAAAGAAAAGAAAAAACAACATACTCGGGAGTGGGTGGAGTGGGGAGGGGATTAGTACCATTTTAAGCCAGACATGGTGGCGGACACCTGTAATCCCAGCTCTCAGGAGGCTGAGACAGGAGGATCACTGTGAGTTCAAGACCAGCATGGGCTACACAGTGAGTTCCAGGGCAGTCTGAACTACATAGATCATTCTTCTGTTCATGTCCTTGGAAGTAAATGTTTTCCTAGATTAATATTCAAGGCCTTGACCCAATTTAGAAACGAAGGCAAAATTACTTTGTAGGTCTGTATTTCATACTGAAACTAAAAGCATCTCTAAAACATTTCAAACACATTTTCCTTTGTAAAAAAGGTGGTAATAGTATTTTTTTTTTTTTTAGTGTTTCTAAATATTTCTGTTCTGTGTATTTCCTAGCACCAAATCAAATGAAAGCCAAGGAAGGAAGAAATGTGTACAGTTCTTCACGTTATGATGATTATGACAGATATAGGCGTTCTAGGAGCCGGAGTTATGAAAGGAGGAGATCAAGAAGTCGGTCTTTTGATTACAACTATAGAAGATCTTATAGTCCTAGAAAGTAAGTGTGACAATGGTCTGCTTTTTAAAAAAACAAGGTGGTCTTTGTAGCCAGGTGTAGTGGTGTGTGCTTGTAGTCCCAGACATTTGGAAGGTTGAAGCTAGGCTGGGCAACATAATGACATCTCATATAAAAAAGATGTTTGTTAGCTCCCTCCACCTTGTATACTTTTAATTACAAAAATACAGGTACAGGTGTGTGTGTGTGTGTGTGTGTGTGTGTGTAATGCTTTGTTGAAACTAAACATATATGTTTTTTTTTAAATTTAAGATACTATAGACATTTGTCACTGTTTGCTTTTTCTGATATACTTTTTAGCAGTAGACCAACTGGAAGACCACGACGTAGCAGAAGCCATTCCGACAATGATAGGTAAATAACTTTTGCTATGAAAAAGACTCATGTTTTTCAATTTCAGAGTGAACTTTTGCTCTAAAAGTACAAATTTGATTAATATAGAATCTAATTTTTACTCTAATTGTATCTCTCCTCTGTTTTAAAAGATTCAAACACCGAAATCGATCTTTTTCAAGATCTAAATCCAATTCAAGATCACGGTCCAAGTCCCAGCCCAAGAAAGAAATGAAGGCTAAATCACGTTCTAGGTCTGCATCTCACACCAAAACTAGAGGCACCTCTAAAACAGATTCCAAAACACATTATAAGTCTGGCTCAAGATATGAAAAGGAATCAAGGAAAAAAGAACCACCTAGATCCAAATCTCAGTCAAGATCACAGTCTAGGTCTAGGTCAAAATCTAGATCAAAGTCTTGGACTAGTCCTAAGTCCAGTGGCCACTGATAGTATAAACCATGATAATTTTTAGGCATGTATCATTCATTTACTCATAGGTTGGTATACTTAAATTATCAGGATTACAATGTTGCAATGATGCGTAAAAAACACTTGTTAGTTTTCCCTGTTCCAGGCAATGGTTATAATTAAAATGATATGCTGTTGAGAAGACACTCTTAAGAGTCCAGTTTGTTTAATGTTATGGGCAGCTACCAATATGTGGTGTCTCTGTATATTTTTGTAAAGATTCTCATTTTTTATGCTTGAAGTATTTGGTGAAAAGATGTTGGTTGACCATAATTTGCAACATTGTCTTATTAAAAATAAACTTTCATATCCATATTTGGTAGAACTGTTAACCTAGAAATGTAGTTTGCTAATAAGATAGAATGATACAAAAGTGAAGTTGTAGCCACAGTACAACACTGACTGCTCAGAAACATTTAGGTTCAGGGTGGACCTTTATGTCTTTCAAGGTGGGTAGGCCCAGATAAGAGCTCATTTATGATGCGGTGTGGAAAAATTAACCCCACTGTCTTGGGCAGTGATGCGTGTTTTCTGTTGCTATGAATATTTGGAACATAAACACATCAAAAAGCTCCCCTTTAAATTTGAGCAGGTCAATGATGGCAGAAATAATTTTAAGGAGGAAAGTATGTTCTTAGTAGTTACTCTAAAATGTAAGGAGCGGTGTTGACCATTGTTGCTTAGTTTTTTTACTGCTGTTTGAAGTAAATTGTTTCAGTGTAAGTTTTATTTGTGTGTATGTATAGGGTAAAGGAACTGAATTTTGATGCTTACAGCACTGAGCATGTGCATTTGTATCAAAATTTGACTGCTTGTTTATGAGGGAGGCTTGCTGTTCACATTTCAATTTATTTACTGTGAGGCAAGTTGAAATACAACACTCCCATCCTAGGTGATTCTGTGGTGCCATGAAATTTTAAATAATTTTGGAAAACAGGATTAGTTTAAGGAAGAGCCACATCTTTTGAGTTTTTGATTATCGTTGTAGTAGCTGACTAAAAATGAGGAATTAATACCTCAATTATTTATAATTTCTAGTATCTCTAAAAGATTGTTTGGAGGCAATAAAAAATGACTTGAAATGTCCAGTCTCATTTCACAATAAAAGCTAGCATTTTCTAAAATCTCAGAATGCTTGCTTGCAGATACAAGAAAGAAATATTGTAGGGAAATGATTCCTTTTAGAGAATTTTTTTTTTCAATTTTGAGTTTAGAAATCTAGGCCTTGCCTGTAAAGATAAAAAAATGGTTTTTACATACTGTTTGTGGAATGTGTTTAAAGGATTGATTCTAGAACCTTTGTATATTTAATAGTATTTCTAACTTTCATTTCTTTACTGTTTGCAGTTAATGTTCATGTTCTGCTATGCAATCATTTATATGCACGCTTCTTTAATTTTTTTTAGATTTTCCTGGATGTATAGTTTAAACAACAAAAAGTCTATTTAAAACTGTAGCAGTAGTTGCAGTTCTAGCAAAGAGGAAAGTTGTGGGGTTAAACTTTGTATTTTCTTTCTTATAGAAGCTTCTAAAAAGGTATTTTTATATGTTCTTTTTAACAAATATTGTGTACAACCTTTAAAACATCAATGTTTGGATCAAAACAAGACCCAGCTTATTTTCTGCTTGCTGTAAATTAAGCAAACATGCTATAATAAAAACAAAATGAAGGAAATAATGATTAACTGGAATTATTATAGTATTGAAAACAGTCTTTCATAGATTTAGGGATATTTTTAAGCCATCGTTGCATTAGGCGTACCTAATTTACTTTGGAAATGACAAGACTTGCCAGAAATCTACATTGATATTTGGGTCAGCTAATTATAAATTTATACTTTCATTATTGGATTGATCATTAACTCCCTAAATGAGATATATTAGACTTTATGTTTATAGCATGATCTAAAATTATTTTTCATTGAATGTTGGTGAGCATTTATTAAGTGATAACCACTTCGGGGAAAATGTTTGGGTGTTTCGCGAATTGGATTCTAGCTACTTTATAATAATTGTAGCTGGTAATTTATTAAGTATGATGTACCAGACACCGTTAAGGAGGCTGTGTGTCAACTCATTCACTCTTCACAAACCCTGTGAGAAAAGATACTTTTATTTTCCGTATATCACAAAGCAACTGGGGCACAATGAAAGGGCTGTAAGTGGCTGTCAGGATTTGAGCCCAGGTCTGGTTCTTAGGGGGGTTTTTTGTTTTGTTTTGTTTTATTAAGCAGACTAATTTGAGAAAAGTAAATTGAGGAGACAGCCCAATGAAATTATTCTCGGTCTCTGTATACAACTAGAAGGGCTCACATTTTCATTTTTATATCTTTGTCATTTTATTTTTAAGCTCAGATTATATTTCTTGAGAAACATTGTTTCTAAAATAATATTTAACAGAGCTTCACAGGGGCTTTATGAGTTCATGAGAGGATCCTACTGATACTTAGGATCTTTACACAGTGTTTTAAGCTAATTTTGGATTATTGAGTTCCACAACTATTGAGTGCCTATTGTGTGTCTGGCACTGGGCTCAATACTGTTTTTCTTGTCATCAACACTCAACTGAGGGCTGACACTTCACCTCTCCTTTTACTTAAGATCTCTGCTTTTTTAAAAGCCAAGTAAGCAAGAAGAAAAGTGAGAGATAATGCTTCAGTGAGAAAGGAAAGGTGCTACATAGTGTGTGGGCTAATAAGTAACAACCTAGGGAAAAGACCTGGGAACTACTGTGCTATTCTCTTGAAAAATTGGCCCAGTAAGCTGCTACATCCAGTTCAACTAACAATCCTGTATACCACAGAGAAGAATAAAGAAAACCAAACTGACAAACATCCTTCTTTTATTTAAGACCAAACTGCAGCTGGAATACCCAGTACAGTTCTGCTTACTACACTTCAAGAAAGATCTGAAAGCGGAAAAAGAACCAAAGAAGGGCAGTTCAAGCGACCAAAGGGTGGGTGGAAGGTGCTGCAGTATGAATACTTTTCGAATATTTTGACTGGTATGAAAAGATAAAAGAATTATCGAAAACTACATGGAATAATTGAAGTCCCTTCAAGCTTGAAAGTAAGCATCTTAGGACAAATAAAAGGAAATTCAATTTTGTACTTGTGGAAACTAATCCCTAAATATGAAAACAGGTTAATATTGATTCATGGATAACAGGTCCATAATAAATTATTGAAAACTAGGATGTCTTGAATATAAAGGAAGACAGCCATAGTCTCTACAGTGCCTCTAATGGTCTGTCTCAAACCGAATTGGGCGGGAAAAGGTATGATCCAATGTAAACTTTTTCTTGGTTATTTCTTAAGTCATTTCCATTTATGCCATTATTGGCAAATCTTGCCTTTGTTTTAGTATGGTGCCAGTGTTTTCTGCTTGTTTGCTTTGTTGGCATCTGAGTTTATTTACATGCACACCTCATAAGTTTACATCATCTTTAATCACTCGCCTTCCCGGGTATCTTCCAATTATACTTGACATCCAGCTGAGAGGACTCATCTCTCCTTACTTCTTTCCTAGTCAGTATGTCGGCAAATATTGAGCTTTTACTATGGGCAAAATATTGTACTGAATAACTGAGGAGAATAGATGTCTTTTATTCAGTAAATGTCTACTGAGCACAATCTAATGAATTATTACAATATAGCCTTACTGTTTTGAGGTGTATTACACAATATTTTGTACCACTCATATCATAATGTAATTATAAACCCAGTATGCTATCAAAGATAACTAATTTTATGGTTACCTGCCCTTTTAAAAAAATCCAGTATTTTGTTTGCATCCTATTAATAATAATGAAAGTGTTTTAATCTGTAAAAAATTGATTTACTGTGCTGTGACTGTAATATACTAGAGTTATATTAATTGTTAACTCTGCCTCAATCACACACATGCTAGGAAAAAAAAACATCTCCAAAATAAGTATTTAACTTTGCATTAGATATTTAGGAGACCCGGGGTGCTATGATTAGATTATTTTGGAGAAGACAACTATTATCCCGTATGATTTAGTATGTTCTGTAATTCCGAAAATGTTTGCCAGATTATACTTTTTAGTGATTCACATGTACATTTTATAGGGGACATGTTCTGTGTATAGTGAATAAATAATTTTTATAGTGTTACAAAATGTTCTGGGTTCCTTAGTTCCTTATTAGGATGTGAGATTTATCACAACGATTCCATCTCATTTGATTTTTGTCACATTTTTGCCACATGCTTAAAACTAAAATTATCTAAGATCTGGAAATGGAGGCTACGCCTTTAATTTATAACAAATTTGAAAGTGTTGTAGAATGCACATAACTGAATGGGGTATGAAATGGAGATACTTGGGAGTTTTGTTCTTGTTTTTGTTTTGGTACTGGGGATCAAACTTGGAACCTTGCGCTTGCAAGGCAGGCCACCAAACCACAGAGCTAAATCCCCAGCTGTATTCTCATTTTAAAAAAAATTTTTTTGTAACTACCCAGGGTCACACAAGTGGCAAATACTAGGTTAGAGTCCATAAATTCTGATTGATTTTTGTTTTTTTAAATTGACTTGGAAAGTGTTTTATAGCTTTATTTTCATGGAGATAATAAAGTTGATATAATGGGATTTAGAGTTTACTTGGAGCATATTATGGATTCAGTTACAAAATGTATCATATTTTTATATGATCTTTAGCATTGAACTGGTAGCTTTTACTGGTAGGGGTTGTGTATTTTTTGAAAGAATGCCTTTGTAGTTCACGCATTTAGTCCTCTACTTCCTTTCTCCATTTCCTGTTGAACTGAGGTTAAAACATTTCAGGGGGACAGAACTAAATTGCATATATGGTTCAGATTTTCTTTTTTAAAAATTGATGAATTCTTGCTGGAAAATATCTTACTCATTTATAAATACAGTTAACAATACTTGATCTCTGAAGTTTTAAATGTGATCAGTCAGAAAAGGTCCTTGTGGTTTTGGCGACTGTCACAGTGTAGTGGATAGTTTTTGTTATCGTCTGTGGTCGTTACCTTGTATATTGAAGGCTGTCCGTGTTATTAAGCACTTAATGTGCCAAGCCATATGCTTTCCAGATACTCCCATTCATCCTATTCCTGTTGTACAGATGAAAAAGTTGTCATTTATGGAGTACCCACCATGTGACAGGCTTTTTTGCATACACTATTTCATTCTTCAACTTGTAACCTAATGGGTAACTTTTCTGGATGAGAAAGACATTAAGTCTAACCTAAGATCACAAGCTCTTGAGGCTCAGAGCTTTCCAAATTTTAATCTCTTTAAAGTCTTGACCATGTGCCTATTGGAATGTCCTGAGATTGAGAAGGCTGTGACTTGAGCAGTAGTCTGGAATAATCTGATGACATTCTATTAATAGGATCATTGGGCTTTGGGGGATTCCAGGAGTGAAATGCTTTTGTTCGATAGTTAATGGCTTGATAAACAGATGAAGTAAATTATCTTCAGCAGCTATTGCTGCCAACAAGACATTTTGCTAGTCATGGAAAGGGCTCCTCCTATTGGGTCTTTTCCTCTGCCTCATCCTCTTAACAGTGTTGATTATATTTGTGTATTTGTAAAGCTATTTCACCATTGTTAAAAGATGGAGATTTTTTTGGAATAAAAAATGAGGCATGTAAATTCATTTCACTGATAATTGAGTTTGTAAAGACATAAAAGGCCTCTGTATTTAGTTTTTTGCAGATCCCACTTTGAATGCTGGAGACTGAAATAATAAACTGGTCTAGGAGCCAAAAAAAATCTTGCTTTTTTTTTTGTTTTGTTTTGTTTTTTGTTTGTTTTGTATTTTTTTAGATTTTGTTCTTCCTTACAAATATGTTAACTATCCCAATAGACTTTTTATTTGTGTAAGAAGTTTGAGAGATTCTTTTTGCCCCTCTGATTTAAAGTAAGAATTAGAATGCAAATCAAACAGAATTTTTCAGACTTGTCCAAATTCCTTCAGGCCTTATTTCCCCCACCTTCAGCTTGTTTGAGGGATAGATAATGGACCTTGGCTCCATCATGATACATCACCATCAAAAAGATGAGGACAGTGGGTGCAGCTCGATAGTAGAATGCTTCTCTACCTTGTGTAAGGTCCTGGGTTCAATCCCCAACATTGCAGGGTGAGGGGTGGGGAGATCAAATACTTACTGAAAGCTGCTGATTTCAGCAGCCCTATACAACAGATTCTATCTACCTATACTTTTTTAGTTCTCAAAAGCATTGATTTTTGAAATTCATGTTACTGTACTTTGGAAAGCTAACCACAGCTTTATCAGTGTATGTCCATAAGAGATGTTCATATGACCTCTGACCTCACCATTAAGCTATGGAATTTTTTTATGGTTAATTAGAAGCCTTTTCTATTCCTGGCCTTCATTCTGAGTACTTTTCAACAGTTTGGCTTGGGCCCATCCAAAAATAGTGTACTACTGTATGTATTTCAGTGTAGATTTAAAAACTAAATGGCTCAATCCAGTGAAATTACACTGAAGAATTTAGCAAATCCTTAGCTTTATTCATGAGTGTGTCCTGGGAATAAAAGAAAAAAACCCAAATAATAGTTTTGTTTTATCTTTGTACTTATTTTTACTGTTTAAGTTGAAAAATTTCAGCTTTGCCACGGACTACTTAGTATTATTCAACTGGTTTAAACCTAAGCCATCATAATTATTTGGAAACTGCTTGCCAGAAGGCAAGTGTGTGATAAGCTTCCCTTACAGAGATCCCTTGTGTAAATTATACTTAAGACACAAGAGTTTTTCCCAATCTGAGTTCCTTTTTGTTTTTGAGACAGGGTCTCTCTATGTAGCCCCAGGTGGCTCAGCCTCTGGAATACAGGGAATGTGGGTGTGCCCCTGCCACACTTGATACAATTTGAGTTCTATTTTTTAATAAATTTTAAATCATCTTAAAATATAAATTCAATAACTCATTTTACTTAATTTGATAATTTGACCTTCAAGAGCTTTGTGAAATTTTGCTGGTCTTGTGGCCTTTTTACTGTTAGCGTTGCCAGGAAAGTCTTGGGTTAATTGAATAGCTGTATATCAAACCAAAACAACAGCAAGCCAGTGGCTTCTCTTCAAACTAACAACCTTAATCAAATTTCAGTTCATTGTGTACATTATAATAAAGATTAGGCAGTTGTAATAGTTTTTAAAATACTACTGGCTGGGGTCTAGCTCAGTGGTGCTGATGCCTCTCAAGTGTAATGTCCTGAATTTAATCCCCAGTACCCCCCCCCAAAAAAAAACAAGCTATTGGGGAGGGAAAATTTTTTTAATTTCATGTTTCAAATTCATACCTTATACATTTAAGTACTACATGAACTTATCTTTTTAGAATGTTCAATATTTCATTTGGGCAATATTGTTTCATCTAAATCTGGAGAAACACAACTTTGCTTTTCTGCTTTTAGGATTTTTGGGTCTTTGGGAAGTTATGCAGAGAGATCTTTTACATGAGTGGTTCCTTGGGTTGATCTTATGACAAAAAAAATAAAAATCAATGGCAACACTCTGGTGAAAGCCAATATTATTCTTTGGGTTTAAACAGGGTAGTGAGGGAATCCTGTACACTTTTCATCTCTTAAAAATAGAAATATTTTAGCAGCTTACACCTTTTCAGTTGTATTATAAAACATATTACACTAGAATTTACTTTGAAATAGTTTACAACCAAATCAGTTATAACATACACTGGCACTTTAGCACAAGGGCAAACTTTAAAAACAATTATGGACCTCTAAAATTAGGCCATAGTATAACAGTCCATGGTCTTACATTCAGCAAATTCATACTAAAATATTTTTTTGTAGGATAAAAGCCAAGAAAACTTTACATATGCTACAAGCTTATTACACGTATTTACATGGCTCTTTTTCCCTAGGTAAATTTTTCACATATCACTCCCTACTTTAAGCTTTGCAGGGATAAGGCCAGATCACTGTCAGCCTGTGTGGTGCTGCAATATAAAAATGTACTTGGAAAGCTACAAAGTTCTGGTACACCTATATTGGCAGATGCCTGTTCATGGTTTGTTTCATTTTAAGGCCACCAGAGTATTTGTGCCTCATTCTGATTAAGTTGCCCTTTACACATTTATCACTACAATTTAGTGAAATGCAGCTATTTAAGAAAATTCACATTTTCTTTTGGCAGTGCATTAGATTGTTGGCATGTTTGATATCCCTAAGAGAAACTTTCAGATGTCTGCCTGATTTTCCAACTTGTGTCAGCTAGATGCTTACAATTTGAATCACTTCAAGTAAATCTGACCCATGAATATTACTTTCCTCACTAATAAAGATTAATCAAATCTAATCAAGTCATTTCACTTGTTACCTAATTGAGAACATTATTTTAAGTTGCACTGATACTACCATTACATCACAGTGCACACAACACAAAACAAATGAGATAGTCTGATTATAATTTTACATTATCAGTTTTACAGATACTCTAGTGAATTTCTTTCAGACCAATTGATGACTATTTGTAAATATAGCTAAATTTAAACATCTTTATACCTGTACTTTAAGTAAGGTTTTAAGTTGAAATGTCAGTATTTCTTTATCTGAAGGGCTAAAGGAAACAGAAACCCAGTGGCTCGGTGGTTTGGGAAGCACACTTGGTGATGGTGGCTCACTAAATTTGGCTCCAGCATAGTTCTGACAAGCTTGAGACTTAAAAAGTAAGCTGGGACTTGATAAACTAGAGTTCCAATTTGGATTATTTGGAAAATTGTTGTTCTTCCCCCCATTCTGCATGGCCTGCCATGCAGCTGCTGAGGAGTTATAAGCATGTCCTCTTTCTTTTTTCTTATGAACAATCTTCATCTGGGAATTCTGATCCTTGGTTTTCTGTCTGTTAAGCTGCTGTTGGTTCTTAGTAACATTTCTGGATTGAGGGGCTGGAATGTTATACCTCTCTCCACCGCCCATCTTCAGCTTCTTTGTCACCTGTTAAGAAAATGAAAATGATTAAGTTCCCGAAAGGAAAGTTGGAAAGTTCTTTCTAAAAGGTTTTACAGCTCCAATTTCTAATTCCAGAGGTCCTGGTAAAATTCCAAAATATGGACTGCATAGATGCTTTAACTCGGCGTGCATATATATATATGCAGTCTGTATTACTGTTCCTAAGAAAAATGAGCTCATCACAAATCTGAATTAAGCCTTTGTAAAGGTCAGGCATGGCGCACACACCTGTATTCCCAGCATTTTGGAGTCCTGAAGCAGGAGGATCTCAAAGAGTTTGAGACCTGCCTGGGCTACATAGTTCAAATCCAGCGAAACTACATAGTGAGACCCTTTGAATGAATGGGTCCATTATAAAATACCCCATTTTGATGCAGGTTTATACCTTTCAGTCTGTTCTTCAGATTGCAGTATTTCCACTACTTTTCTTCCTTGCTGCCAAGCCCAAGATAATAGGTGTTGCTTTCTGGTGGGTCCTTTCCTTTGTCTCAAGGCAAAAGTTTTCATGGGCCGATCTGCTGAGTTCAATCTAGGAGCTGAGGCCAACATCTGAGTCTCCTCAGCACACAAATTTGAGAGAAGTCTCAGCTGCAAAAGTAAAGACTACTTGATCAGTTAAAAAAGACGGGAGAGAGTGATCATTTACATTTGCTACAGAAATAGCTGCAGTAAAAGAATGGCTAAAAAGCTGAACATAAAGGATTCTAGAAAACAAGGTGTCTGAAGATGACTTTGACCTCATAGATGCCATCTAACAACCCATCAAGCTCCGAGGGAATTTTTTGAGTACCTACAAGTCCCACCAACTTACCTTTTTCCTAGAAAACATCAGATACCACTTCGTAACCAAAACGCTAAACTTTCGCATTTCCAGCTAAAACCAAGAAAGTGGCTTAAAATGTATTTTCTAAAGAGACCATGCTCTAAAGTTCCATCCGAATTTTCCGATCTTTACTTTCCACAAAGCCGCGACTCCCACCGTGGGGAGTGCTTCCTTCGGTTATGCCTCCCCATGACTCAAGTTTCACAAGACGTAGTAACCGCGTGCGTGAGAACGCCTCGCCAAGCGACCTCCAGGCTTCGTTTGGTTCGATTCCGAGAAAGCAAGTGACCGAAGAGTGAGCCCCTGCCTTCCACCAGGGTAGGTAGAAGGCCTTCCGGAGTGTTAGTAACCCAAGCAGCGAGTTCAGGCCTCTTGCGTTATCATAGATGGAGCCCGCGGCCGCCGAGGCCTGGCTCCCGCGCCCGTTCCCGTTCCCGTTCCCCTCGCCGGCAAACCGGGCTGTCGGCTCCGCGCCCGCCGCCTTCTTAACAATAGGGAGCGGCCGCCAACATGGCCGTGCTTCGGCCACTCACCGACTTCGGCTCGGACTGCGGCGGCAGCTCCCACTCGACGTCGAAGCCTCCCTCCCTTTCCACGGAGCGAAGAGGCACAGATCGAACAAAGCCTGCGAGCACAGACGATTCAACCGCGGACCACCCTGGCGTCTCCGACCAGACCTCCTTCTACCTCTGCCGACAAAAT